CATGGGGTGCTTTGTATGAGTGGGTTCTGTTTCTGTTTCGTTTTATTTATTTATTATATATTTTTAAAGGTTTCTGTGTGTGCACAAGAGGTAGGAAGACAGAGGGAGGGCGAGCGTGAGAACGAAGGCAAGCAGCCCAGGGCCCGTTCACTGCAATCCCTCGTCCTCCATCCCTCCATCCCCTGGGACCCTGGGCTCTTGTGTGTGGCCGTCAGGGCCCGGGGGGAAACTCCTGCCGGCCATGTGGGGAGCAGCTCCCTCTGCACACACATAACCCTGTCCTGGGGGCGGTGCTGGGTGTTGTCTTAGAGACAGGGTCTCACAATGTCACCCTGGCCAGTCCAAGCTCACAATCCCCTGCTCAACCTCGAGTCGTGGAGGTGACAGGAGCAGGGCAGGCCTGACTACCAGGGGCTTCTGTGACCTGGGAAGGGGGCTGGGGAACCCGAGGCCTGAGCGCCCCGTTTGCGGGAACCTTCAGAGCCGAAAGGAGAGGCCGAGGCAGTCCCCACTCTCAGCAGCTCTGCCCTGCTACAACCCTGCGGCCCGGCCCGCCTAGTACTGCCCGGCTCAGTCCATCCCTCAGGCAGGGGCAACTGCAGCTGCATTTCACAGAGGGGAGACTGAGGCCCGCAGTGACCCGCCCACCTGGCCTCTGCCTCCCGGGACAGCTCACCGAGCAGCAGAGCCTGCTGCGCTTGCGTGCGCTCCTGCTCCTGCAGGTCCTGCCGGGCCTTCTCCTCCAGGGCCCGCAGCTCCAGCTCCAACCGGTGCGCCTGCTGCTGGGCCTGCAGGCTGTGGCCGCCCTCCTCCCACACGCGCTCCTTCGTGGCCTGGGCAGGAGGGAGGGGCATGAAGGAGGGACGCAGTGCAGCCCGCCCCGCTGCCATGACGTCCAGCCAGGGCAGGCAGAGCACATTCTGTCTCCCCGGGTCTCCCAGGCCTCACACAGGGGACGCCCACGGGGGCCTGGCCGTGACAGCCTGGCTGCTCGGACCAGTGTGCACCTGCTCCACACGGACACGGGGGACAGGTACTGACGGCACAGCTGGGAGCCGGCATGAGTGTCTTCCCAGTGCCCAGGATGCCCGGGGCAGCTGCTGTGAGGGGCCCAGGCGGTGGGCTGACAGCGAGCTGACGGAGAGGGTCCTGCAGCCTTCCAGGCCTGTCCCTGATCTGACAGCGGCTGTGTGTTTGTCCAGGGCCGTCTGAGGCCCATTCTCTCCCCTCCGTCTCTCAGTGCTGGGTCGTGGGCTTGTGCCAAGCGCACCCCCGAGTGCAGCCCGAGCAACTGTCTGCCAGGCACGAGGCCTCGGTGCAGTCGCTCACCGCCCGACTCCTGGGACGGCCATGTCCTGACTCTCAGACACAGAATGTGCCACCTCACACGGCAAAGGGACTTCAGACGTGTAGGGGGGCCCCAGGAGGGAGGCCACCTGTGTCTGTGTGGGCCTCAGCCCAAGGGTCTGTATAGAGGGGACAGGGCAGTCAGAGGGCCTGGTGGTGACGGCGGTGGGGGGACGTGAGGACGCGGGGTGCTGGCCCGTATGACGCAGGGAGGGCCAGGAGTTGAGGGGCTCAGGGGGCCCAGGGGCTGGAAGAGCAGGAGGACAGCTTCCCGGGTTTTAGGAAGACCACTGCCCACCCAATACTGTGAGCCGGGTTCCTGCCCCCAGAACTGCCTGGCTCCCAGCCCAGGCGGGCCAGTGGGGGCTCAGGAGCAGACCACGCGTGGGCCTCCTGAGGCTGCACAGGAGCGAACAGGGCAACAGCCAGGCCCTCCTTTGGCACAGGAGCAGGCTCTCAGAGGCAGGACGCCGGCACGGCTGAGCCGGTTAGGCTGACGCTCTTTCGGGCCCTGTCCGGTTTTTT